TTCCTCCAAACACTATCAAATGCTTTTTGGATGTCAACAAAGCAAGTATATAGTTTCCCATTTTGTTTAAGATATTTATTAACAATTGTTTTTAAAACAAAGATTTGATCAGCGGTACGGTATCCTTTCCTAAAACCTGCTTGATTATTATTTATTATATTATTTGTTTCTGTAAATTGATATATTCTGTTATTAATTATGTTACATAGTACTTTACCTACACAGCTGGAAACTGTTATCCCTCTGTAATTACTTGGATCATCTCGGTCCCCCTTTTTAAATATGTGTGAAACTATACTAATGTTCCAGATCTCTGGGTAAATTCCTGTATTCAAGATTAGATTATATAACTTATGCAATGGTTTAATTAGATAATCTGAACTGTATTTTATTAGTTCTGAACAATAACCATCATAACCTGCTGACTTTTTAGTTTTAAGTTTACTAATTGCTAATTTAATTTCCTTTTCAGTTATGTGGTTGTTTAATGTGTTATATATCTGTGTTTTATTTTCTAACTCATTGGTGGTAGAAATAATGTTTTTCTGAAAATCATTCAAATCAACTTGGACATTTAATTGTTTGTAGTATTCCATCCATTTATCAAATGAAATTGGGTTCTCTTTTTCTTTATCTGTATCTCTTAACTGTTTAATAATATGCCAAAATTGTTGAGGGTTATTTTTATTTTTGCTTTAATAGTTTATCCACAATCAAGTTTTGTTCCTGCATTTTCTTTTTTCTTATTATAGTTTTATATTTCTTTTTTTTTTGCTCTTTTTCTTGATATTTTTACATTTAAATACTGGACCTGCTGAAGTGTCTAATATTGTATTAAAATCATCCACTGCTCTATTAATCCCTATTTTGTCTGGAGTATAATTATTGTCATCAAAGACTTTAATTCTGTCTTGAATTGGTTTAGAGGCCAAGTTATCCTGGTAATTAATTATTGATAATTTATCCCACAACTATATTGATAATTTATCCCACAATTGTACCATACCTACCCCTTTAATAAACCTAAGTTTTGCAAACATTTCTATGTTAAGTCACAGGATATTCAACCTCCATTAATTAAACTTAATTAAAATGCAATTCTATGTCAACCCATAAAAGAGGGTCTCTGGTCAACCTGATTAGTTTTTGGTTAAAATCCATATTTAAGCATTTTTACTTGTTTCTTATAGGCTATTAAACATAAAATTTCCTTGAAACTTGGTACATATATGCTTTTGGATAAATTTCAATTATGATTACTCCAGAGTGGAAATCCATGTATATTAATTACCCACCTTGTATAAATGAGCTCATGTGACCTCATTAATATGCAAGTGTAATATCTCAAGCACTGTTGCAGATGATATGTAAATCGGTGTTGTAATAAAGACATTGCACATGTGTGGTCATGTGATCTCATTAATGTGCATAACTGTAATATCACAGACAAAGGCAAGTGTGTGGTCAAAATACTGTAGAAAACTTTAGCTGGAATTTTATTTTCACTGAATTATTTCTTTAGCAAAAATAGTGAAAAATAATTCCAAGCAAAAATAAAGTATTTTACAGTATAAATACACTCTACAATGATCACAATTGTTGTTTTATGTGAATTAGAGTTGTGCTTCTAATATAGAAAATACGGTATTTCTTATTTGTAGTTCGTTTTTTTTTTGCAGGCCAGTCTTTTATTATCCCTTGTTTCACGAACCCGCCGAATGAACAGGAGCCGAAAATGAAATAAAAATAAAATTTTATTTCAGCGTAATTTCTCGCGTCCGCCAACTTGTAAGTGCAAAAAATTGCTAAAAAAAACTTATTTTTATCTTCATTTTTTTTTCCACCCGCCGCGTAACAAACCCAAGTTGCATTTTCGTGGGAGTATCATGATCGAAGTGCCAAAGTCTCGCGCAGATGAGAAACAAGGTTATACATGGAATAAAATTTTATTTCATTTCTTCTCTCCGATCAATGATCTCACTTACAATTCTTTGAGAATCACACAAATCTAATGGAAAAAAATAATTAATTTTTTTTTTTTTCCCGCCCTCCTCAAAAAAATTGCCTTATAAAAACTCTAGAAACAAGGAATAAAAAAAGTCTGGTAAATGGACATAATTTCCTGAATGTGTGTGGCAGTTGTCTAATATATATCACATGTGGGCTTTATTTTTATAGATTTAAGTGAATCAAGTTAATAATTATACATAATGAAATTATCTATTTCAATGTAATGCCGACAATATTTGATTATAATATAAGATGTGTGTTTTTTTCACAGCTTTCTATCCACTGGAATGATCCATGGCAAATTTTACCATCCAGACAGCGTCGGAAAATATACCAGTATAAAATACAAGACAAACATGTTTCTTTTTTCGCTCCTGGGACTTCTGCAGCAGTTCTTTGACAGACGCTGTTGTCTATTCTTAAAATTTTACCATTTAATTATTTAGCAAATTTTCATAATTTTAAAATTTCAACCAATCGCAGAATTGTACTGTTTTTAGTTCCTTAAATTTTTTTCTCCTCAGCTTTTTATTCTTTTAGTTTGATTTTCTAATTCAGACTTCAATGATAAACCCATAAAAGTTGAATTGGTGGTATGTGATATTAGAGAATAATGTGAACATTATGCAAACAATCTTCTACTACGGTAGATCTGCACACAAAATAACTTACTTTTCCTAGGTTTTAAATAAGAATGGTTTGATACAAAAAATGTTATTTCTTTGGTTTGTTATTAAATATTCGTAAACTTGAAGTTTGTTTTATTGTGAAAGAATGATTTAGTTGCACTCTGTGATTATCTGTCAAGTTTTTTTTTAGTACGATACTTGAGTCTATTCTCTGTGAAATATATCTGAGGATTCACCTGGACTTGCCCTTACGACAAATACTGTGGGGCACAGTATTTAGAAGAAGTAGAAGAACACTAAAACACTTTTCAAAGGCGTAAAATTGAATGTCCAATCAAATGGAAAGTTATAACATTCTGTAGCAGTCAGACATGCTGAATATAAAAATTTTTGAATGTTCAGTAAATATTTTCTGCTAGTCATGCAAATTCAGACCATCACATATTTCATAAAATAGTCCAAGTGTTCCTAATACAACTTTACATATAATCAGAGTGCAACTTTGAAAAGCTGCTGCTGTGCATTTTATCAAAACAAATGGAATTCATCTTTCTATTTAGGAGGCCCTCTAGTGACGAAGACATTGCTTTTCACTCGTCTAGAATTACTTCAACACTAGAGGGCGCATCTTTGACTGCCTAAATATTAACACATGTATTGCAATTATTTTTTATTCAAGTCCAACTAGATTTTTTGTTCAGATTCATTTTTGAGCTCAGATCCTAGTCAATCGTGCATTTCAAACTAACACAAACACAATCATAAACAAATTGGGAACATGGTATTCATGTACAACAAAAAAAGAGACAACTTTTATTTTTGTCACACATTTTAATTTTCTTATCTACTCGTATAAAGTCTACAAAAATTCAATACAGATTATGTGGAATGTAAATTTTACTTGTTTGCACTTGAACCTTTGTAATAAAGTCAATAAGTACATTCTTGGAATGGCATTTCACGGAAGTAGACATGATGGTAACACAAATTAGATGCATTAAATTAAATCAACAGATGCATTATGAACGTTTTCACTTTGCAAACATGTCTAACGGAACACAATTAAGCCTACCCTTTTATAGTATGTATTCATTCTCTGAGCATCAATTGCTAATTTATCTCATTAGCCATGCAAATGTATTCAAAAATTCCATACTATTGGCCGTTCATTGGATAGTTTGAATTCTTCACATGCAAATCATATGATCCCAAATATTTGTATAGTTAAATTAATAATGTACTGTCAGTACTGTCTTTTTGGGTCTTGGTGACCTCAGAACGTATATAGATTCTAAGCTGAACAGAATAAGTATGTTACTATTCTAAGTTCTGGCACTAGGGGGCGCCCACCCTGTAAAATGACTCCATTGTAAACTTCAATATTTCTGGTAAAATAAATTTTACATATTTGGCCTTTGTACAAAATAACGATTTTTTTTTTTTTTTACATCAAATGTTGTACTAAATCGTCACTTCACAATATGTTGATTTATTAATTTTTTTTAAATTTTGGCTTTAAATCAAAAAAATGAAATATTCAACACTTATTGCAAAAACTAAAACCATTTCTTGTATTCAGTAAATATTTAATTATAAAATACCTATTAGATTATTAAAAAAAAATATTCTTATACATTTGTGATCATTTGTTTTGAATGCTTTACAAATCTATATAAAATCAAAGATTATGAATTATTACTCAATAGCAACATTTTATATTAACTCATTGATTGTTAATTTGTTTCCATCCACAAATTAAAGGTAAATTTGTTCAAATTTTTTGTAATTTTCGCAAAATTCAATCTCAATTTTGGACCAAACAAACAAAATGTGATATTATTTCTAGTTTTTGATCCAAAAATTTGAAAATTTCACAACATTTTATGTGGGAAAGAGCAGACTATACATTTAACTACTGTAAAAGGATTAATTATTCACTGGGTTTTAATTTTGCTTATTTCGCTAACTGAAAAATATGCTAAATTAAAACCCAGGGAATATGTAAAATTTAGCATAAAACACATTATCTAAATAATAAAACAGTGAATTTAAAACCCACTGAATATACCTGAAATGGTAAATCAGCGAAATTTAAACCCAGTGAAAATTAGTCATTTTACAGTATTTCATGGATGATGCCTGGAGTTGATTTTGGTGATCAAAGGGTTAAATAAGGCACTTCCTCTGATGCTATTTAAATGACATGATAAATATTTTTAATAAACCAGAAATACAAATCGTAAATACTAAGGTGGTACTTACGTCTATCAGTAATGGAAGCCATCAAATCATGAATTCTAATATACTCTAGAATACTTTATTTTCCCTTGGAATTTATTTTCGCTATTTTTGCTGAAGGGATGATTCCATGAAAATAAAATCCAGCGAATATACTTTTTTTCCTATATTTCACATTAAAGTCATCAAAAATCAGTGAAAATATATTCCATACAAAACGCCCAAAAAGCCTTTTCAGCAAAAATTAATTCCAGCAAAAATAAAATATTCCACAGTACATTGATTAAAGGCACAAAAGCTAGGACTATAGCATTCTATTATACATCCAAAATGATTCCTTGTATTAAACTTGACTAGTATATCAATGATAAAGTTTGATTACTAGACATGAATTTGTAGAAAATTGACAACTCCAGTCTTATACATATTGTGTATAATATTTCCGAGCTGATTTTATATTCAGTCATAAAATCTACGGGATTGACACCAGCACCCACTCAAAACTCGCCTATTGAGCAAAACCATGGAGAAGTTGCCACATACTCATTTGGTACAAAGTGTTCACTTTTACAGCTATTACACAAGCCTCTCAATTATTGCCTAATATACCCTCTAATGACAAAGCCCTCTGGCCACACAAAGTAAATATACACATGTACAGAATAAACATGTTTTACAACTGAAAAAGTCAAAATAGTACAATATTATTGAGTACAATTTCTACAATACTGTACTCTATGTTCAACTGATATGATATATTTTTGATCTTTTAGAAATTCAGCTTCAGACCTGAAATGCTGAGTTTCTTTTGTCTATAGAAATATCTGTAATATTTTAATGGAATTTTATTTGTATTAACCAAAAATGACTTGAGCTTGTTTGCGATGATCTTTTGATTTGTCCTTCAAAACTCCCATAAAATAGTATTTGTAATATTTTAATGGAAGTTGATATAATAGGGAAAAATTGCCTTGTTTAAGTTAATAGAATATGACTTGAGCTTGTTTGTGAAGTGGTGTCGTTTGATTTGTCATTGAAATTCCCATTTAGTTGGCATTTTGCTCTAAAATAATATCTGTAATATTTTAATGGAAGTTGATATAAATAGGGATAATTGTCTTGAATAAGTAATATGACAAGCTTGTCTGTGATATTGTCTCCTTTTGATTGTGCATCTAGAAATTGTTTTGCTCTAAAATACAATGGAATATTGTGTAATCAAATGAAAATTCATTCAATTATATACTGTGAAGTTAACTGAAGCTCCTTAGTGAACCCATAAAAGTAACAATTTGAATCTCCCTTTTTTCTCCCTAGCTTGCTTTCAAATTATAACAGCAACAAATTGCATGTTATTATATCATAAAGTATATGATGCAACAGGAAAATACACTTATGCTATTTAAACTTGTAATGTACATTGTAGTCCTATGTTGTACAGCACTTCACATGACTTATAAGAGTCCATTCGAAGATGTACAAAAGTTTTTTGGGTGTGAGAATTTGGGTGTGAAAGGGAAAGAGGTAAATAAGGGTTTTCCCAGTGCTTCATTAAAGCCATCACATTATTCATTGATACTAGGCAGTATTTCGCGGGTTTATCTCACCAAAGTTCCCAGGTAAAAATTTAAGTTTTCACAATAATTCTCACACTATGCTCAACAGAAATTTTAAATCAAAAACTTTCTCTGGGAGTTATTAATATTATCAAACAATTTGCTTAGACTGTCTGAATTGAACCTGCTATTAAACTAAAAATATCTTACTTGGCAGCCATCGGCTGTACTAATTTACCACAATATTGGTCGTCGTGACGTCAAATAAGAGTGAACTTTGATACCACTATGTGAAGTATACCTGGTAAATTATTTTAATAATCTTATCTTAAAAAGTTATGGTCATTGTTAAGAGCATTTTCAAATTTTGTGTAAACATACAATGTGATTTACACTTTATGTCGTAATCGGACATGATGCCACACAACATCCACCTTCCTTCAACAAAAATAATTACTCAAATTTGAATGGACAAAAATATGATCCATTAACTTCTTTGTTTCATATCGTTGATAATTAAAGTCGCAGTGTCTCTGCGTTTCATTTTAATCAGCACCTCGATTATCAAATCCAGGCTTGCATATTTACCAACTTTGTTTCTCCAAGCAAGGAGAATTTGAAAGACTTGCTCCCTTAGTGCGTTTGTTTGTTCTTTCACATCCTCCACATCAATCTCTGATAGTCCAAGTTTAATTCCGAGCTCTGTCAAGTCTCTGTACGCTATATGGTCTTTTATTATGTCAAGGTCTTTGTTTGTTAAGACTTTGTGGAAATCTACAATTGAAACAAATTAAATCTTTAATTACTCGCCTGTTAAACAAGAAATTAGTTGTCAACAAAAAAAACAGGGTCTGAATTAAATCAGATAGAGAATCAAATAATATGACAATAGAAATAAAATTAAATAACGTGAGATGAAGTGGTAACCTGTCAGGTGTTACCATTGTGTTTTGATTGCCAATTACTGGACAAATGTTATCACCATTTCTGCATTCTGCTGCAATGTCTGGTTATATTTCTGAATGAGTAGGAAAATGAACACTGAATAGCTCATTGATCCTTTTACTACACAGTTATTGAGTTACTGTAGTTGAAAATTGTCTCGTGACCAACAACTTTAAAAGGGACCAGATGATTTTTTTAATTTGCAGTTCAGTTAATTTCAGTCATAGCTACTCAAATTGCATATATTATAACTTGGCTTTCATTAAAAACTACATGTACATTAAGGAAAATGTGTGTCTTTACACAAATTAAAAAAGTGATCACCTAAATGTAATCTATGATGGACCCTTTTGCAGTTGTTTTTAACATGAGTTATGCTACACGTGCAACATAAGGTATATTTGTATCAAACTGAATTCCAATCCATCCAGTAGTTTTGGGGATATTGGTAGAAAACAGTTTCACATATGTCCATTCATTCATCCACACAGACAGACAGACAGACAGACAGACAGACAGACAGACAGACAGACAGACATTGGAATAACATTTTGTGCTTTTCACATACCAGAGAAAAAAAATAACAATTTTTTTGAAGAATACCAGTTACAAAGTTTTTGTTAACTTTTTAAAAAACAAGGCCAAGAACCACTGAACATACCTCACATGAAAACAGATTTTATTGGGAAATGTTGATACCTCATATGCATGTGGGAGATGCGAGTTACAGTACTGTCCAGGCATAACTTTACTCCCACTTCAGCTTGCTTTGGATTTTTGAAAAAACTTAAAGCAAATATCATTATCATCAGTAATTAAAACATATTCTTTGGAGTATTTACCCAAGTTATTAATATGAGAGATATTTAGGCAGAATACCCGATACAACTTAGATATGAGGCATTTTTGAATGCACTCTAAGGTAGCCTCAAACTAGTTGAAAGTTATGCTTGAACTATACTGCAGCTTATTAGTCCCTGTTTCAGGCACAGCCTGAACGGCGGACTATTAATTCTTATTTTAATTCTGCAGCAGATATCAATGAAACTTGGCAGGTTGATGAACAAGTCTCTGCCGATTATGCATGTTATTTTTTTTTTCAAGAAAATCCTAAGTGGGTCTTTTTGATGATTTTCATTCAAAACTACCTCTCCCTACTGAACTGAGAGAACAACTGAGCATGCTCAGAATAAATAATTAGGTAAGATGGTAATGATAGGGTTTTTAGTGATGTTGACCTGGTCATGACCTTGATCTGAATCAATGACATTACCATTACCAATCTCAGGAGAAAATGTAGAGGAGTGTCAGGGCTACATTTTGACGGGAATTATAGTGGTAATACTGAAACAAACCCAGGTCCTGGTAATATACAAAGACCTGAATTAACAAAGAAGTCAAGTTGTTATTAAAGGTACATCAAGGTTTACTCAAATTTATGAATGCAGTTTCTTGAGCATGTGTGAGACATAGTTTGGTTGTACTTGTGTACTCTGAGATTAAGGTAAATCACTTTATGATGACTTGTACCCACATAGAGTACATATTAATTCAATTGTTTGCAGATGTTCCATGTATTATTTTTACATGAGTATTTTAGAATTAAACAGGGACTGTGACATTCATGTCTTCTGAATGAAGTACAATGAAGGAGTAATTATAAGAAATTGTACAAAACATGTACTTACCCCTGAGATAATAATTATGTAATAACTGTCTAGTTTTAATGTCTTCTATCTCATCTTGCATCTTTTTAAGTTTATCTTCTACTATTCTCATCAAATTTGAATTGTCTTTTTGTTTAATGTCTCTTCTTCTCATCTTGTCTTTCAGCAAGTCCATTTGGGGCAGAAGTCGCTCTGTAGAAGAGTGATTAATGAAATTAACAAAGTGTAGTTATGAAATAGACAGTATTGCTGCAACTGATTTTGTTTGTGGCTAGGTTGCCATATTTAGACAGTATTGTGGCAACAGATTTTGTTTGTGGCTTGGTTGCCATATTTAGACAGTATTGCTGCAACCGATTTTGTTAGTGGCTAGGTTGCCATATTTAGACAGTATTGCTGCAACTGATTTTGTCAGTAGGTAGGTTGCCATATTTAGACAGTTGCTGCAACTGATTTTGTTAGTGGCTAGGTTACCATATTTAGACAGTATTGCTGCAACTTATTTTGTTAGTGGCTAGGTTGCCATATTTAGACAGTTGCTGCAACTGATTTTGTTAGTGGCTAGGTTGCCATATTTAGACAGTATTGCTGCAACTGATTTTGTTAGTAGCTAGGTTGCCATATTTAGACAGTATTGCTGCAACTGATTTTGTTAGTGACTAGGTTACCATATTTAGACAGTATTGCTGCAACTGATTTTGTTAGTGACTAGGTTACCATATTTAGACAGTATTGCTGCAACTGATTTTGTTAGTGGCTAGGTTACCATATTTAGACAGTATTGCTGCAACTAATTTTGTTAGTGGCTAGGTTGCCATATTTAGACAGTATTGTAGCAACAGATTTTGTTTGTGGCTAGGTTGCCATATTTAGACAGTATTGCTGCAACTGATTTTGTTAGTGGCTAGGTTGCCATATTTAGACAGTATTGCTGCAACAGATTTTGTTTGTGGCTAGGTTGCCATATTTAGACAGTATTGCTGCAACTGATTTTGTTAGTGGCTAGGTTGCCACATTTAGACCTTATTGCTGCAACAGATTTTTTTTGTGGCTAGGTTGCCATATTGAGACAGTAGCTGCAACTGATTTTGTTTGTGGCTAGGTTGCCATATTTAGACAGTATTGCTGCAACAGATTTTGTTTGTGGCTAGGTTGCCATATTTAGACAGTATTGCTGCAACTGATTTTGTTAGTGGCTAGGTTACCATATTTAGACAGTATTGCTGCAACAGATTTTGTTTTTTGGCTAGGTTGCCATATTTAGACAGTATTGCTGCAACTGATTTTGTTAGTGGCTAGGTTGCCACATTTAGACCTTATTGCTGCAACAGATTTTGTTTGTGGCTAGGTTGCCATATTTAGACAGTATTGCTGCAACTGATTTTGTTAGTGGCTAGGTTACCATATTTAGACAGTATTGCTGCAACAGATTTTGTTTTTTGGCTAGGTTGCCATATTTAGACAGTATTGCTGCAACTGATTTTGTTAGTGGCTAGGTTGCCACATTTAGACCTTATTGCTGCAACAGATTTTTTTGTGGCTAGGTTGCCATATTTAGACAGTATTGTGGCAACAGATTTTGTTTGTGGCTAGGTTGCCATATTTAGACAGTATTGCTGCAACTGATTTTGTTAGTGACTAGGTTACCATATTTAGACAGTATTGCTGCAACTGATTTTGTCAGTAGGTAGGTTGCCATATTTAGACAGTATTGCTGCAACTGATTTTGTTAGTGGCTAGGTTACCATATTTAGACAGTATTGCTGCAACTGATTTTGTTAGTGGCTAGGTTGCCATATTTAGACAGTATTGCTGCAACAGATTTTGTTTGTGGCTAGGTTGCCATATTTAGACAGTATTGCTGCAACTTATTTTGTTTGTGGGTAGGTTACCATATTTAGACAGTATTGCTGCAACAGATTTTGTTTGTGGGCAGTTTGCCATAATCAGACAGTATTGTGGCAACAGATTTTGTTTGTGGCTAGGTTGCCACATTTAGACAGTATTGCTGCAATAGATTTTGTTAGTGGCTAGGTTGCCACATTTAGACCTTATTGCTGCAACAGATTTTGTTTGTGGCTAGGTTGCCATATTTAGACAGTATTGCTGCAACTGATTTTGTTTGTGGGTAGGTTACCATATTTAGACAGTATTGCTGCAACTGATTTTGTTTGTGGGTAGTTTGCCATATTTAGACAGTATTGCTGCAACTGATTTTGTTTGTGGGCAGTTTGCCATAATCAGACAGTATTGCTGTAACTGATTTTGTTTGTGGGTAGTTTGCCATAATCAGACAGTATTGCTGCAACTGATTTTGTTTGTGGGCAGTTTGCCATAATCAGACAGTATTGCTGCAACTGATTTTGTTTGTGGGCAGTTTGCCATAATCAGACAGTATTGCTGTAACCGATTTTGTTTGTGGGTAGTTTGCCATTATTAGACAGTATTGCTGCAACCGATTTTGTTTGTGGGTAGGTTGCCAGCATTGGAAACAAATCTACTTCAGACACTATATACAGAACGTGACTCAAGTAGGCAGCCTGTCATGACAATTGGACAGTTGTTTTGTTGAAACTCAACAAATGCCCATGTTGCTCAGTCAATAATGTGTGACAGCCATTGGTTTTATGAAACTTGGTACATGAGAAAAAAAATGTTTGAAACAACTGGCATTCTTATTTATTTCTAGATAATTCCATATGATATGTTTGAGAATCATTAAAATTATTAATATACAGATGTTGAGTTACCTTCTAAGCGTTTGATGGCTCTCGTAGTATAATCCATTTCAGTGGTACCCTCCCCTGGATAATTATAGATGGTACTACCATGATAAATAACACTAACTGGAGCTGCATCAGCTGAGTCTTGGGACGACGTAGAAACATGTCGTTGTCGAGCTTCAGGTAGAATGGTAGGGTAGGGGGATCGTCTTTGTCGGTAGCGGGGATCATAACTTGATTGCAACGGGGTTGGAATATTTTTATTGTCCATTGTGTGTGGAAGACTTTGTGAAAGAACTGGACTCACAGGATATCGGTGTTGACCTTTGTAATATGCGCGAGGTGATACACCATTAGCTTGATATGATAACCTTGAGTGTTCATAATTCTGTGCATTTTTCACGTCCTGTAGGTTCTTCCAATCAGTTTTTCCCGAATGCACAACTTTCTCAATATTTGGAAATCTAACATGATCATATTTCTCATTTAATCTTTTAATCGGTGTTTTCATTCGAGGAGTTCGTACCTGGGATGTGCCATATTTCATCTGTGATAATGAACGCACTTCTTGTTTCACTATGTACTTTGACTGCTTTGGATGATATTTATACTGTGATGGAAGCCTTGAAGACTGTCGTATCATTGGCCCTCTGCCAAGTTCAACTATAGATGGCTGTCTTACTGTCGTTTGTGGTGGCAGTCGAGTTGCTGTTTTTTGCCTTGGGCTCTTTCGGATTAATTTTGCATATGGTGTTTTTCTTCTCGACTTTCCTTGAGTTTCATGTTCTTTCCTTGGTGATCTTGTTGGTGATTGTTGCTTTCTTAAAACTGGTGATGTAGATTTATTATTCTCTTTGTCTTGCATATAAGACTTTGCAGTCACAAAAATATCCTCCTCATCGTCAGCAATAGACCCCAATGACAATAACTGCGGACGATATGGTGTTACCTTCCTGGCGCTTAAATACTCATTTAAAATTTGAAAAGTGTTATGCCCAATATCTAACACAAATGGCAATAGGCTGACGACACCAGCATAACCCGGCTGATCCTCATAACTCAAAGTAAACTTTTCTTTATCTAAAAATGAAAAGTCGCTTTTCTCAAGAAGTCGTTTCCTCCAGTCACCCAATTCATCCTGACAAATTAATTGAACATGTTCTGGTAAAAGCGATGTTAAGTTTTCTTCAAGTTTACGCAATTGGTCAACTAAATTAAGAAACAATTCTAAAGTACCATGTGTGTTTGTGCTACTGCTTGTATTCTCAGAATCTGATGACCATTGGTGGTGCAATAGCGCCCTCACTTCTTGCAGTGTGCGCACACCGATATGAACCCGACTTTGGCGAAGAGGTTCAGCACTGTACAATGGGAGTCTGTTTTTTAGAGCAGTCACAAAAAGGAATCTTTGACAAGAGAATTGTTCATAGTCTTCTAAAATGTCTTGATACTTTTTGTATAATTTGTTGACAATTTCTTGCAAATCAGCACCAGAACTATAAGTGGTTTCCATGGCAACTTGTCTTAGGAACACTGGAATGAATGGATTATATTGAGATCTGTGAAAAAAAGAAATGTGATTAAAACTACAATCAAAGGATATTTGTATTCAGAAAGTTTACATTTGTACTACCAGGCCTTGAACTTGAGACTTGAGGACAAGGCTATGTCATGCAACCTTGAAATCTTGATTGTCAGTGTCCCGTAAAAATAACAATGAAAAGTACAAATACAAATCTAGTATCGTTGCATAAACCTGTTTTACTTACACAGTATAAATTTGAATTTAAGTTTATATTTTTAAAAAACTTATTTTACAGAGAGATTTTTTTCTGGCTAAAATTTTAATGTGAGTGTTCAGTGGTTCTTTTTCTCAATTTTGTGCTCGAACCAAATGAAGAGAATGTAATGGTGCGTATAGGTGAAATGGCACACTCACATACGTTTGATACAATTGGTGTTCAATCATGATTCACCATATGCATTATGCACTAAGTATTTAACTGCATTATATTTATATATACATGAACCTTAACCTGGGCGAGTCCAGGTGTTTTGAGACAAGATAATTGGATCAATTACAATTCCGTGATTTAATGAATTGTCAAAAACCTTTCCAGACATAACAGAAAACATCAATGACTTTTCCACAATTTGTCCTTTAAAAATTGTTCTTATGCAAAATAAAATCAGTTTGCCAAGTACTATCAACAAATGAAGACCACAATGTCATATAATGTCATCTGATTCATTTTATGGCTCAGAAAAAAAGTTTTTCGTCAATTTTTTTTTTTAAATCGATGAGCATATTTTTATTTGAAAATAGTCACTAAAATATGGTATTTGCTCTATTAGAAGCGCATCTTCAATAGAAGTGCATATAAAACAAAAATAAGTTGTATAGTGAATCATAAAACAATATTATCTATTTTGGCCATTGAAATACCTTAGTCTGTAATGCTAACACATGCCAATGATACAGTGAATACAGTAATTTTATTTTTATTGAAAAGCCTAAAAAAAAGTGATGTTCGTGATGACCTGAGTAGGAACATTTTGTTCTGTGCATGACAACCTGACAAATCCTGAACCAATAAAAAAAAGGTTTATTTATGTACATGTGTTCTACTAGACGGTTGGTTGAGAAAACAACCCCCACCCTTCAGTATATCAAAATAGAGCTACAATAATCCAAAATCGTTTAATTGAACACTGAACTTCCAGGTGTTAAAAATGTGCTTGTCTGAACAGGTAAAATCAGACATAACCAAAATGGTGTTGAAAATCTGTACACCAGAACCTTGGAAACTCAACAATGGCTGTCGGTGATAGTCACTTCAGAATCTGAATGGATTTGTTTGTAGACGATGCATTGTGGGATAACATTAGCAGGGTCAAGGGTCAACAGACTAACTTTGTTTATGTTGTCGGCCACCATAATACTACAACAATTCCCCCAGCATGAGTCTACTGATTAGAATGTGGTGATAAATCAACAGGTGGTTGATCCCCACTGTTGTTTTATAACTCCCATAACTATTGGTTGAAATGTGAATATACTACAATATTTGGTTGGTATCAGCCAATCAGGTGAAGTGTTATGTTGTACTGTATTTTTGCAAGTCATGATTCACTACTTTAGAAGCAATTTTTAGGTAGTCAAGAGATTATGTTTTCAAGAGTCTATAAAACATCTTGTGTATGACTAGGGATTTAAACTTCATTGGACAGGACTTTTATTACTTTTTGGAGACATTTTGAGCACCAATGTCAACTTCTGTAACCATCGCAAATTAAAACCTGCATAATTTTTTTATATTTTTTTTCAAAATTTTGATCAAGTCTTGTAGCTAGCAGGAAATCTTATCCACTTGGTCCAAAATTATCAACAAAATGAACAAAAAATACCCAAAATAGACAAAATGTTGCACCAACATTTTGGTGTGAAAAAATGTTGCACTCAAAAGGTTAACCTTTTCACCACCAGACTTTCTTGCCAAAATTTGTCTGCACTTTTAAATTAATATTATTCAATATTTCTGGAAATGATCCCTATTTTTGGAGCCAACAGACAAAATCTGAGACAATTTTAGTTTTTACCCAAAAAATTTGGCTATAATTGTCCCAATGTTCTGAAGGAAAGTGCAGACTATATACAGGACTATTTTGTGAATTTGTGATGAAAAGAGTGAACTGGTGGTGAAAATGGTTAATTGGGTCTAATGTACCTGTACATAAATGGTCGAACCTCAGTTTTGAATTCCCAAATAAGTGGGGAGAAAAAAACATTGTTGCAAAATCATATAGATCTAGAATTTCTCAATATGTCTTTTTACACTTTGTGTAAACATTGTATTTTACACACATGGAGGGACAGGTAGCATGCAACGCGATGGCTGCCACACTACAGTCTATTTGAATGAATAAAAAAGTAATTTGTACTCGTATGAGGCAAATGTATTTATTGCACAGAATGACCACCCCAGTTTAAAATACAGTTCTTAACTTTTTATAAAGAAATTAATGTGTATCACATACCAAATATCTGTATGTGTATTGTGTATTCAGGGATCATATTCAAAAATGGATATTTTCTCTTGAATGAGAAATCCAGATCAGATTTACTAGTCTATGATACAGAATAACTGTAAATGATTTGATGGTCAGTGGGGATCAAATCCCAAAGTCAATATGGGGGGGGGGGGGCAAGGGTTATTTTCGTTCAACGTAATTGGAATATTTTTTTGTTCGTACAACATAAATTGAAAAAATAAATTCCGTAATTCTGTAATCACAGGCTAGACGTACAACGTAATCAATCAAATATTTATTTTTTTCGTACACTGTAAAAATGTGTCATTTTTTTCGGTACGTACAAGAATTTTCTAGGTTTTCTTTTTCAATTTTCCATAAAATGTAAAATAACCTTTATTTTCTCTGTAAACTGTAAACATACAATTTTCACTGTAAACTGTAAAAACGTCTTTTTTTCCCTTGTAAATTGTAAAAAGCCCTTTTTATTTCCCATAAAACTGTACCAGCTTTACCCCCCTTGCCCCCCCCCCTCCCCTCCAATATGACTTCCAGCCTTAACCCTTAAGTCAACTTCAGGCATCATCTTCAAAATAGCGCTGCTCTTTTCTACATAAAATGTTGCAACAATTTTAATATTTTTCGATCAAAAACTAGAAGTAATGTCATATTTTGTTTGTTTGTTCCAAAATAAAGATTGAAATCAGTGAAAATTACAGAAAATGTGAACAAATTTAAACCAATTTGAGTAAGAAAAAAATTTTGCACTCAACGGGTAAAATAGAACCTCGGCAAAATGTTGACTTCTACAAAATTTTGTATTTTTTCCTGATTTGTAAAATGTTGTCTATCGCAAAATTAAACAAAGACCAATAAGTTGCTGACAAAAAACTACCAATTTTCTTTCCATTTTGTGTTTGACCTTGTACAACTCAAATTAAACATTAGTATTGATTGTAATATTGTGTTTTTACTGTTAACAGTTAAACATTTCAGCTGCCTGATATTTTTCGTAACTTGTTGGGTGTCAATAAAAGCAAAATTCACTGACTCCCTATCTTAAGGATCTTATGTTTGTTGGTTTAAAAATTATTTGATTTTCCCTGTCCTGTAGAATTTGCCAAAAAAATTGAACCACGAAAGCAGTTCACTGTAATATATTTCACTCACTGTTATAAGTATGGTTGTTCTTTTCAAAACAATCAAAATGGACGTCACTTCCTGACATGTTGACACATAGTATTTTGATCACCTGTAAATAGTACTAAATTACAATTTTTTCAGGAACTATCTCATTCAGTAGGCTTGTAAAATAATGTGTTTTTATTATTTTTTAACCAATACAACTCACACAATTCAAGTTATTATGAAATCACTATGTCAATACAAAAGTTGAAATTATTCATAAATTCTGGTGAATCATTAAGATTTAAAATTTGATTATCTACTCATGAAAAAAAATTAAGAAAAATTGTGCTAAGACCAATTGCTATAAACTATTTAAATAACTTTGTTGAACTATTGTTTTTTTTTTATTTTGGACCTTGAACTGTTAATAACTTTGTACTAAATCTGCCCAATTAGTCTGGTTCATTCAATATGAGCAGGCCAATATCTAATTAAAGTCCACAACAGTGGTTTTGAAAACAAGTCAACCAGCGTCCGTTGTCCTGATTCTAATTGAACCAACTATACATCTGTACTATAATCTAGGGAATTCTGGAACTTGGTTTCTTCATCCAGTTTCATCCCCAATTCGGCCATCTCCCGATGGTTCTCGACAATGAGCTTTGTAGTACGTTAACAAAAAAATCAATTAATATGGCCTTGAATGGGAAAAACCTTGTGTCAGCTGAACAAAAAGTTCAGTAATATCCAAATATGTTCAAATCAACTTCCTAAGTCTATGGTATGAACAGTTAGGCCAAGGACATTAAAATCAGACAGTGTGAACGTGTTCTGACACGAAACCACTCAAATAGACCTGTCTTAAGTTTTAAAAAAGTTCTTAAGTTTGAAAGAACAAGGTCAGCAATTGAAAATTGTAAATAAATATTATCATAAGGGTGGTTTATCGCAAACCACATATAGGTTAAAAAAACGTGGCTAATATGGAGTGTTTTGAAGAGCGGGACAATGCCAGCCGACTATTATTTAGCGAGGTCAGGCCTGCTGTACTCAGATCATTCCGCAACAATGTTCCTATTGTTTTCTTTTGTTCTTTTGGGGGCCTGATGTGGAGGAAACAATCCACGAACCATAAAATCCTGTACTTGTGTACAAGATATTTGATACCTTTGAAGTTCTGTTATGCAAATTAGGTTACTTTTTTAAATGCCTTTGTTCTCCAGAGGGAAGGAAATTGATCCAGGCCTTGAGAAGTTGGTGAATAATTACAATAGAATTTAATTGTTATTTTTCAAATGACAAGGAAGTTCAAGACACCATGATGATAAAGTACTTTAAATTTATTGCGGCCGTGAAAAATCTAAAAACAGAGTTGTAACCCCCCCCCCCCCCTACGCACACACACACACACACACACATATACACCAATGCTTTTACCAGGTAGCCCTAAAAATAGGCAATCGAAGATAATAACTTGATTTTTTTTTATAAATTCATTTTTTGGGGATAATTGCCATAATTAACGATTATTTAAAGTTGAGAATTATTTGTCTGGGATCGCCAGGGTCTCACTGTGTATTGTCGGCATCTATTTAAAATGTCTACTCTCGAAAGACTAAAAAACGTTCAATCAGATTTGTGTCCGCACTAAAAATATATGAAAAAGGACATTTTTATAGGCGACTAACGATGATAAAGTTTGGAGAAACACGTATACAGTGGGTTTTCAACTTACCTGTACTATATGTATTACAGCCTTGGCATGCCTCCGAATCTAAAATCAGTCGTCATTCAAAAAGTGGCGTCCATAACAACAATACAGCGTCCAAGTCAGCTGTAGTACTAGCAGCACCTTGGTAGTAGCACCAAACCATCTACTTCTTGGTCGTATTTTTTAGGAGTTCATCGCTTAAAAAACGGTCCGAACTCCTTTCAAACGCAGTCGCCTGACTGTCCTGGCTATACAGAGGGGAGTGGGGCTTTCGACGGAGGTATACGGACTGGGTCCTCGACCAACCATGCGTGTCTGATATGCAGGTGAAAAAGTCAGCCTGACAGACGCTTTAAATTAGACCCCCTAGGTGTTAATAAATTTACAAGGTCAATAACTCCCTACCTTACCCCAGATATTTTGTATACAAACTCTATATATGAGTTATTGTTAGAATAGGGGTTTTCTTGTATTTACCGACTCAAGTTATTATGTATTCATGAGTTTGTATATGATATTCCCGATAAAATCTATCTATATATATTTGTATATATATCAGCTTATGTGTATTCAGGGCCAATTTTGATTAAGCTGTTTTATTTGGCCTTCTACGAACCGAAACAGTTTTAGACGACCCGTTCTTTCTCTCGTTGATGGACAGCGAGTGTACCTAATACACCAATCTTTAGTAAATTTCCAGTCCCAGACACGGGGGCAAGGCCGAGCAAGTCAACCGTAAAATACGGTATCAAAAAGTCGTCTAGGCGATGTGGAAAACTTCTCAAAATGAGAAATTGAACCTAATTTTTGCTGAACCTAATTTGAAGGCAAATATGTAATTTGTGATAATATTAATTTTCAGGTAACAGAGAAATTTCCACACGTGGCTTTCGTTGAATTTGACATCCGAATCTGGTAATGCATTGTGATTGGTCGTTTTCGAAACTTCTTTGAAATTTATAAAACATTTATCATTTTTTGTATGAAAAACGTTCATGGCTCTGTGTGGCAGGGGAAAAAATGCAAATTATTCCTTTCGGTTACTTAGTTTTGAGCTTAGACTTTGTTTCTGTAATTTTCAAGATATCAATCAGCAGAGAGTCCATTAAACATGAGTGATGGCTTAATATGTAATATATTGGCAATTAACAACGCATCACACCGTGTGGCCTAGAGTGAGTGTTGTGAGGACGTGTACTTCCTTACATAAGATGTTATAATGTTGCCAATAGAGCTTGCTGGTTATTTCTAGTAAGCTCTTCTAACTTCCATCACTGTATCGGATTCCCTATTTATATCATATCATCGCGACTGCGTGGGCGAGGTATGTGTGGTAATAATATTACGTGAATTAAATCGAATTGTTTTGTTAATTCTCAGTTCAACACATTGCCTGCTGTCTCCTTTTTCCCCATT